TGGTGGGAAACTTTACCCAAGTTTTCAACCTTGAAGTACATGTACATTGTACCTCGGCTGGTATCTCCACTTTTTTGGGCGTTTAGGATGAGAACCATTCACTTGGCAAATATAATGTAAATGTAAACTGTAGATGAGGACAAATGTTTTTACTATATATTTCACTTGTTATATTCTTTTCTTAATGCTCTTTCTGTCTTTTTTCTTTTATTTTTGGGGTGGGTGGGCTCAGAGACAGGAAAACTGCTCATTTTTGCCTTACTTCATTCGTTGTACCCTTTTCTTTCTCTGTCTTTCATCTTTTTTTTTTATTTTGGAGGGGTTGGTGTTCATCATGGGTTTGACCTGCATCGTTTGCAGGATTTACTCATTATTATTGTTATAAGGGGATGATATGTTAAGTAACCTACAATGTAGCAGGGTCCAAAAATGAGTATTCTTGCAATTTCAATTAAATTTAGAATAATATTTTAGTTGGATTGGATTCTTTGAAGAATTGGGGAAAAGAGAGGTACATGTGCCATTACTGACATATGTAAGTGCATTTTCCCTTAATTAATTGAGTGCAAAGGTTATGTAACTTTTCATTTAAATATAATATAATTTTGGTTTTAGATTATATAAGCTTGAACAAAAAAAAAGAAAAAATTAAGCTGTGTAGACATTTAGCTGGGAACATATGAAAATATTGGTATAGGGAATCATTTGAGTTTAATTAGATCATGATATCTTGCACCCATCACATGGTACGTGTGGTTGGTCTAAGATAATATCAAAGGAACAGGTAGTTCTGCCCTAGCTTGTGTAGGTTCAGGGTACTTTAACTACCAGTATCAGATATTACATTTAGGGAAGCTTGGGGGGGGGGGGCCTCCCTGGCTATAACTGTAGTATGTATGTAGGCATAGGGTGGAAATTGCTTGTTTTGATATTGATTGGTTTAGTTTATTTTTTGCTCATTAGACCTATTTGTGTGTGTGGTGGTTGCGGGGGGGGGGGCTTAGTTAATCGCAAACTAAATTCAGTTTTGTTTTCTGTGTGCATTACACAATTCCTGGAAATGTCTTAGTTGTGCCTTGGATGGTAAGCTTATTGCTGTAACACCTGAAATCATTTGGGACCCCTTACCATTTAAGAAAAGGGAGAAAAACAGTCAAATTCAGATATTGCTTGAATACCATATGTCTTGCACTTTGCAAGTCCAGTAAATTTTTGTCTTGCACACGACAAAATGATGTCTAATAATTCTTTATAATTTGTTAACTTTAATCAGGGGAGAATCCAGGATTAGTTAAAGGGGGTGCGCTAAGGTCACCCCAAGAGTTTTGGTATTTTAGAGGGTAAATGGTGCCATTTGGTACTGTGGAGAACTATGATTCAGCTAATCAAAATTCTAATTTGAAAGTGGGACCATTGGTGTGATTTTTTTTCAGAAATCGAAGGGGGGACCCTCCAAAAAAATCCACCGCTGTTTAATTATCTGTCATTTTAATATTGACTGTCAGTTATTATTATAAAACATACTGCTTCTTGTGTAAAGTTAGTTTTTAGTACAATTACAGTTAACTGCAACATTATCAAGTTACATATAGACTAGCATCTCCACTCACCTGATTTGGTAAATGATGTTTTTAAAAAGTTTCGTCAGCTTGATGGATTATTGAGATCAGAAGGTCTTTTGTCACAAACTAGCAAAGACTCCAAATCTAGAGTTATGATACTACTCATATTTGGAAAAAAACATACAAAGAGTGTTCAGGAAAAAGAAGATTGCAATAGCATTTTAACGTTTAAAACGTTTATACTACACTGAACTCTCAGGTGGATGTGAAATAGATACATGTACACTTCCCCTGCACCTGTGTGATGCCCTGTTAGTACCAGTACTGCAGCACTTCACGATACTACCTGTGTCACACTGAAACTGATAAAAATGGCAAGTCTAAATAACACTTGTGAGAAATAAGATTTTTCTACGTTTGTGACCAAAGAGCTGTGGATCTCTCTTATAAAGCGAACTATAAACAAAAAATTTGGTTAATTTTGATATTTTGTTTAATTGAGGAAAATTAAGGTATAGTGCATCATGATTTAGTCAAGATGGCACCTCTGTTCATCTGATTTTTATTAAATGATGTTTAAAAGATATCTGATTGAATGAATTTCTAAAATAAAATTTTGGTTAATTTCCATGTTATGTTTTGAATTGAAATGTATATAGTAATGGGGTAGAGATCCGCGTAGTAACGATTCGGGACAGTATATCGATGAGGAGATGGAACGCTGCGGGGACGCAGAGAGATAACGCGTTCACCTCCAGATGAATTGTCCACATGTTATTAATTAAACATTTTTAAATTCAGTTTTACCAGTAAATTTAAAGACAAAATACCAAAAATGTTTGAAGAAAATTTGATCTTGTCGGTTGCCGAACTAGTAGTACTAGTAGTAATAATGAAAAGATATTTAAAATCAAAGCAACCAGAAGGTGGAAGTTGTACAAATATATATGATTGGAAATAAAAATTAAAAAGAAATGATTCATGCATTAAGATCAATAAATGCACACCCAGGTCCCTAAACGTTAGTTTTAAATACAAAATAAAAGTGTTGTGAAGCCTTCTTCAAACAGGCAAATTTAAAATGATGATACATGTACGTAGCAATTCAATTTTGCCACATTGAAGCTTGATTGCGCGTTAAATCTTATCTTTTTGCACGACTTGGAGATTAGAAGACAATTCAGGGGCGGATCCAGGATTTTTGAAAGGGGGGTCCGGGAATGCGAAGCCGACCTCCCTCCCTCCTCCCCTCCCCCCCCCCCCCTTTTTCGGGTTTGGGGCCCGAAAAGTTTGGTATTTTAGAGGGTGAACGGTACCATTTGGTACGGTTTAGAACTATGGGTGCTTTCCCAGAGATTTAGATCGATCTAAGGATTAAGTTTTAGATCAACCTAACTCCCTGGGGGTTCAGGCTAAATTGCAGTCAGCAGAGCGGACAACATAGTTAATTACCACCTTACAGCTTTTAGTAGGCGGGACAGACGCTTAAGCCGGCCAAGCTGACAGTGATCTAGTGAGACTCCCCACAGGGATAGATCGATCTAAAAATCTATGGAAATGGGGTGTATGATTCAGCTAGTCGAAATTCTAATTTCAAGAGCTAGGGGACCAGAAATCGAAGGGAATGGGGGGGGGGTCAGGACCCCCCTGACCCCCTTCTAAATCCGCCACTGCAATTTATAGTTTCCTCTGCCACTTAATTTTCCAAAAGAAAGATTTGATGGCCGTATGCAAGAGTTTTCGAACATGACTACATTTACCAGAGCAGCGACATTAGATGAACTGGAAAATATATAATTCTGACTAAAACTCAACAGTGCTACCTGGGGAGACAGTGTCTACAAGTTCAAATTTACTGAGAAAAATAGGAAAAAAATAAAGGAGAAATCGGCTCATGTCTTAGAATTTCCGGATCCCTTGCAATTTAGACTGCACAAACCGAAATAACTTTCACTTAGAAGAAAAAGGGAACAATAACCGTACTTGTTTTTTAATTTTTTTTTTTTTTCATTTCATTTGAAAACTAAAAGAAACATTTATTCTTAGTTTACACTGTGCATCAAGTATCAATGCGGTTAATAGGTGTTATATTTTGCCGTAGTAGTACTAGGCCCTACAACGACAAAATGGCATCTATTACCCGCATTGAAGTTGTTAGTGTTATCAGTGTGATGAAAAGCTATATAATATTATGTACACGTGTAAATATGAGACCGACGAGAAAGCACTGTTTTGGTTTTATCATATCTAAGTAGGCCAATGTTATATATTTATCTTCGATATTTTTAATATGAGACAATCTTGATAATCCCTATTGTAGACCTATATCCAGTTACAGTAAATAAATGTATTTAACAGAGTCGGGAGCGTTCCAGTATACCTTTTTGAAAAGCTTCGTAATCCAGTAGACTGCCAAAAAAGGGGTATGTTCACTTATTTTGGATTAAAAATACTAGTAAAAAATTTTTCTTGGTTTTTTCACAATAGTTTGATGATTCACATTCTTAAAGTTTTGAAATGTTTATATGTAGGTTAACGCTCATCATATATTTATAACCATCTGGAGCTATCATGAGACGATGAGTAATTTCAATCGAAACGCAGACTTTTACTTAAAATGTACAACACTGAAAATGCACATACCCCATTAGATATGGATATATTTACATTGTGTACATGTGTCATATTGATATGTACACGTACCCTCTACCAGGGCGAGTAATAGTTTTTTTTACAGATATTCACAGATATGTCTCTAGCTAGATCGATGGTCATTTAGGGCTCACTCGCCCTGGTAGAGGGTAATGTAGGCCTACACGTAGGCCAGAGCACAAGTGCGTGTGACACACACTACCTCTGTATGAAAACAATAGTGTTCAACATCAAATTCGGGACGAGATCGATTTCAATGTTTTCCTTCGTGTTGAGGCATTCAGATCATCTTTCAGTGCGTCTGTCAGTGTATAGGGCCTATACCTTATGTGCCTGTGCTTCAATTTCTTCACCCTATACCAGGGTGGCAAATATTATATAGGCACATTTTCGAGTTTTCACAGTTTGGACATTGTCCATATTTAACCAGAGCTAATATCTAGTGAAAAATCAATCTGTGACCCTGGTAGAGGCTACAACTCCTTCCACTTTTAATCGGTTATTTGATTATCTAATTTCAGTTTATATAACAGCGGGCTAAGCGTTGACACATTGAAACAGCGTTACTACATGTATTACTCTGATTTCGTTTCCGGTGCATTCGCCCTTTTTGCTCTGTCTATCAAAGGTCCCATTCAAATTATTTTCCTGGTAGGCCTAAGCCTACAAGTTCCGTGAAACAATAATTTCAGTGTAGTTCAAAACAAGGAACTAAATTCGTTATATTTCAATTTCCCCACGCCCCCTCGCTAAAATGACCAGTGCAAACAGAACCCTCTGTGAGTAATCCGTACGCCTACATTATACATGTAGTGTTCCTTACAATGGACCCAATGGAGCGCAAATATTGAGAATACCGCACTCTCATGCGACGGCGTCATATCGCCAGAATAGGGTCGACCGTGTCATCTTTGTTATATGTATATTTAACGTACTCATCGGTGTAGCCTTGAATCATGTGCACCCTCATGCTAATATCAATATCAACAGGCAGCGCGATTAGATAGTTTTGTAACTCGCGTTGAGGATTATCTACGTTTACTTCACGACACAGAAATATTGCATACGTGACTCCGCTGGTGACTGTCAACTGGCGATTCGCGTCAGCTTCTCTTAATTCTACGTTAAGGAATCGTTTTTAGCACATTTTCACCTCCAGGTAAGTGGATATTTAAAGCAAATGTGTGTACGTGTGTGTGTGTGTACGTGTGTGTGTGTGTGTGTGTGTGTGTGAGAGAGAGAGAGAGAGAGAGAGAGAGAGAGAGAGAGAGAGAGAGAGAACGTAGAATTATTCCATTGATTTATATTTGGGGTTTACGATTAAATGAGACTGGTTCAGTTGGCATTCCAGGTAAGTTTATATGGCTATTATAATCCAATGTAAATAATAGCAGAACCCCCCCCCCCCCCCAAACCCAGTACGCTCAATGCACAAGATTAACAGACTTAGGACCAGTCATATACCTATGTCATACGATATAGTGTTTGCATTCCTCTATATCTTTAAGCCGTGTACTCCAAACAGAGCTCTGAGATGTTTTTCATTTGGAACCTCTACCCCCCCCCCCTCCCATCTCGTGTCGTATAGCTCTGTTGATAAGATCATTTATTTCGATAAACGATACAGGTGCTTGGGGGGGGGGGGGGGGGCGAGACTTATGTAGAATGTCCTCAAGCAGAGCTAGTGAGACTTATTACAGTGTAACTTCTTTATTTATTTATTTATTTTTTTTATTTTTTTTTGCACACACAGATTTGCTCTGAGGTTTGTTATTGAGCCCTGAGATTTGTTACATTCGGAACTTCTTTATCTCACCCCACCTCAACTCTGTTGATATAATCATTTATTTCAATCAACGATAAGGTGTTGGGGGGTCAAGACTTATGTAGCATGCTCTCACTGATGACAGTTTAATATTTTTATTTAAATTGTCTTCTTTATTTTTTCCTTGCACACATAGATACATACATACAAGCCAGGTACTGCATGGATACTACAGGTCTTCTAACGTTAGCTGTCTCAAAATAATATATATAGGTCCCAGGACATAGCGTTTTGTCGGTTTTGTTACCGCTAGAAAATCTCAGGGGGGGGGGGGGGAGAGAAGATGCCTGGACCCCATGTTATATCCCAACACCAAAATATGTATACCACAGTTTGTAGATATAGTGTTGCATTCATAAAAATATTTTGGTTGATTGACCTAGTTTGTAAGTTGAGGATCGAATGTATCAAGTCTCATTCACCCTACTTATTTCATTTATTTCTATTGCCTCAAATTCAAACCGAACTCTTTTTTTTATTTCTCGTTTATCAATATGTTTCTTCATGCAGCGCTATTTTGTTCCCCTTGTATCAAGCACAAACGTTATATGGATTCTTTCCTTTTAGTTGTGTATATGTCTTCCCAGTTGAATTTGTTATGTGTTTCACGTTTATCATGGGCCCTTTATCATCACCGTATCAGGTTTTTAATTCATGGGGATGAGATTCCGCCGTGAATGGCCACATTGTAGCTCACATACCATTCTTAACGATCACGAAAGAGTACGTTGGACACACGGTGACAAAATTCTAGTATTATCAGAGCACTTTAAAATTTGCGTTTCACTCAAGTGCGGTGCAGCGTTGCCAACCGACGTGTTTAAGTATCCCCACATTCCAAAACGTGGATAGAATCACTATTTATTTTACAGCGCATTCAGAACAGCGGACTAACAGATCAGAGGATCAAATAAGGCGATCCACTAAAACAGCTTGCCGCTTAATTCCCGATTAGACACTGAATAGATTCCCCGCAGGGAGTAGGCAACAAGCATTCAAATGGGTCGGCTATATTTGATCCGCGGATCTCTTAGTCCGCTGTTCTGAAAGCGCTCTTAGACTGTGTCAGGCACTGATTGGAGTTTTTGTGGTGTGAACTATCAGTCATGTTTGCAATGTGAATATTTCAGGCTTGAAACATGGGGTGTATCCAATCTAAAGAAAGAGAAACAACCGGGAAAAGCGACCCGAAGAAATTAACAAGTGACGTCACACATGACGTCAGCTCGAGTCGTGTGTGTTCAACTCTCCCGCCAAACTCTCAGCCACCACGTGAAAAAGTGAAACAAGCTGCCACTACAACAACCACTGTGCAACACCCTACGCTAGAACGCATGTCTAACACGGAGGATTTTACTTCGGCTCTGAACATGTTTAAAGAAATGGAAGCTCGAGCTTTCAGGGTAAGGATATTTTTGCTGTTTCTGCCACCTCGGCTCTCCTTGAATGTCAGTCCCTTTGTCATTTATTTTATTTCAGCACTGTGAAACTAATGGGAGAGCTTTCGTGTTCTTCTGCTGTACAGGGGAGCAGCTGGTCCTTTATTGGTGACTCTCTTAGAATGCATTTAACATTAACTGAGAATGTCCGTTTATAAACATGTAGAAACAGTAAACAACATCATCATGATATAAAGCATAATTCCAGTTAAATAGAACTCGGGCGTTTTTTTTTATCATATATAAAACAATGCATGCTTGGTGTATATAGAGAAATGCTATACATGTACAATTTTTGTTACAAACTGGGAATAAAAGCGGAACATCGAGTGTTTAGAACCCAACAAAGTAAATTAACTGGCAGATATATCTTATTTATTGTGCATAAAGGTGACCCGCACTATCTATGACGTAACTATGACGTAACTGGCCTTTGGTCCTGTCATTTGATTTAACAGCACATCAAAGCGCTGGTCGTGTGAAGTGGGAATAGCATGTACGTTTTAATGAAACCATTTATCAGATAAAATCTGCTCAAGTTAACTTGCCGATTTTGGAAGCTTTAGCGTTTGTGAGTCACTTAGAATAGTCACTTAATCAACTTAAGAATAATATTTACCCTGATAACATTATTCAAAAGTACTTTGGATATATCTCATAGCAGCAATTTATGAATGCAAATAGTCCAGTGATACGCATGTGATAGTTGAGCAAGTATTTTGTGATAAAAAAAATACAGCTAAAATGTGAAGTGTTGTGTAAAAACAAGGGGTTACGCAGTCAAAAATGTAGTTGTTCGTATTTCAGTCTGGACACGACCGTAACTCAACGGGAAACAAAACTGAAACAATATTACAGCAAGGAAACTCCTTGATTACAGAAACACTCACTTATTATCACTTTTAAAGCAAACTCAAGCAAACAAACGACACCGAAACAATACCACAAAAACACTTTCATTTACCACTTTCAAAATTATCAAAATTATTCCGTGTGTGTTTCAGCAACTGAGCAGGAAGGGCCGCAGTAGACGTAGCGGCACGCGTCCTTTCCGAGGAGTAAGACGGCTGGTTAGAACTACAGAGGTAGAAGAGGAAGATGAAGGGGAGAAGGATGGTGAGGACGACGATGACGATGAAGAAGAGGATGATCTGGCACCTCAGGCAGTTAAAGGAGCAAGGACCGCTGATGTTAATCAACTTGTTATAGAGCTGACAGGTAAAGGTTTTATTTCAAGCATAATCTAGGTTGGGGGTAGAGCGATGGAGAATTGATTGTTTGGCCTTTTGGCACTCAGTTTTTGTATCCTCATTCTGGAGTAGATATTTCAAAGGCTTGAGGAGAGAGAGAGAGAGAGAGAGAGAGAGAGAGAGAGAGAGAAATAAAAGTGAATGCAGTTTGTATTGCATTTTACAGGAGAAAAAAGTCAGCCACCCACTACAAAGGAGGAAAAATACGTGACACGTGTCAACGTCCAATTGAACAACAACAAGACAGGTACGCCGGAAGTAGCACCAGACACGCGTGTAGCGCCTCCTCCGGCCCCGCCTAAACTTCGCAGGAAAGATCTTATCAATGATCAGAATACCCTGAAGAATATTGATGATCATGCTGCAGTTGTAAGTGTATCATAATAATAATAATAATAATAATAATAATAATAATAATATAATATTATTATTATTATTATTATTATTATTATTATTATTATTATTATTATTTTAATTAACTGCTGTTGTTTTCGTAAGGTGAGCTTCGGCTATTTGACAACAAATTACATGCTATATTTTGTACCAAAATTTATTTTAAAATAAAGCTGTTATTATAAATATTATTATTTATTTATGTTTTATTTTTTTATTTGCTCTATCTGTGAAATGTGAAATCGTTGCATAACGATATATTTCTATTTCAAGGCCCCAGTATCTGCCTGTACTTCCCTTCCCGCTCTAGTCCAGTACCTTTCGCGTCCGTGTTCTAACGATTTACAGCGAGCGAGGGCGTTCTACCGTTGGATCACAGGAAATATCAGGTTTGTATTATACAAACGCCGATTGTCACAAGAGATAATATATAAATGAATAAAAGAAAATAATAAAAAGCAAAATGTTGAAAAAGTGCTTTTTCAAAATGAAAGTTGCATATTTTGTATTATTTTGTGATAACATGTAGTTCAGCGGTTACTTCAACTACCATTGTAAATCATACATTGTATACGCAGCAGTTTGAAGCCAATTCATCGCTATAACATATATCTTCTACAGTGGCAGATTTAGAGGGAGGTCAGGGGGGTCCTGACACCCCCCCCCCCCCCTTCAATTTCTGGTCCCCTTTTGAAAGTGGAATTTTGACTAGATGAATCATAGTTCTAAACCGTACCAAATAACACCGTTCGCCCTCTAAAATACTAAAATTTTTGGGGCCCTTTATCGGGCCCCGAATCCCACACCAAGTTTTTTGGGTGTAGGGGAGGTATCGGCTTCGCACCCTCCCTTCAAATATTCCTGGATCCGCCCCGGCTTCTACATGTAGTGTTATGTGTCTCTTCAGCTACGCCGTCTCCAGCTACCGCTCTGGCAGCTACAAGTACAAAGACAACTCAGCGGAGGCAGTTTTCCGTAGACGTCGCTGCGTGTGCGCTGGGTATGCTAGAATATTCAAGGAAATGTGCAGGTTTGTGAACCGATAAGTGGTCAACGTTTTTTATGATTATTTATTTATTTATTTATTTATTTATTTATTTATTTATTTATTTATTTGTTTGTATCTTTGTTTGTTATTAAGCACCAAACTTCCATGTTAAAAAAAAAACCTGTGGCATTTCATCATCCCATCTGAATGGTTATTTGCGCGGAAATTAGATCTTCGCTACTTGCAGATGCAGGTCGCGGAGAGGTTCCGCTTTTACATGTAACATTAGCTCTACAGAGACCAACATATATCAATCCAAACAAACCTAGTCCTTATCAAATAATTATTCCAACTGTCTCTCAGATGGAGGATTATTTTAATGTACTTCGTCAAAAAAAACTGACTTCTCATTTTCTGCAAATTATGTCGGTTCTTGTGTTTCTTATGAAGCTTTATACGACCGCACTGAAGACGCAGATAATATCAGGTGCTCAGGAATTTGAATGTTAACGACACAAACCATGCTGGTCTCGTATTAAGGCTGAGCAGAATATCCGTTTTGTACATTGCATTCTGCTGATATCTAAACATAACAAATGTAAAGTATATTTAGGATTTTCTCGCATTTTACAATTTCAATTTATATATAAGAGACACGTACATGTTACTAAGCATTTTTATGTTTTTAGACTGGCCGGTATTCCCTGCGAGGTGGTGTGTGGACACGCTAAAGGAGTTGATAACACCCCTGGTAACGTGTTGACCGGAAAGGACGCCAACCACGACTGGAACTGCGTGTACATAGACAACTCCTGGTGGCCGGTAGATTGCACGTGGGGAGCTGGCTTCATCACAGAGGACTTCGGCTTTAAGGTGAGATAATATTCTATTCTATATACCAATACTGCACTGCCATATTTAACATTTTATTACCGTGATGCAGGACTGTGATTTGTATTTTAAAAGTTGCACTTCTTGAATAGCCCATATTTAAAATACCACTGGCACTTGCATACTGACGTGAGGCGTATTCTTTACCACTATTGACCCTTTTATATTTTCATTCATTTTAGTTTCGTTTCAACGACTTCTATTTCCTTACGGACCCCGACATCTTCGTGTTCACTCATTTTCCTTACAACCCCAAGAAGCCAAACTTTGACGACTGGCAGCTGATAGCCAAACCCTGGTCATTGACTAAATTTGAAAAGGCGCCGCTATTAGAACCAGCGTTCTTCTCCTTGGGCCTTGATCCGGCGTCTCTCAGTCACTTTTTAAATGTCATCGAGTTTCGAGACTCGGTTGAGTTGTCTTTCCGGGGATCGACAGCCATTAGTACAGTGCAGGAGCTGTTTGACAGCAAGTCGGGACAGAGCTACGCTGACTTCAGCTTTAAATACGAAAACCAGCGAGACTTCAAGTCTGTGTCTTGCACCTTTAAACCTCCGTCAACGGGAGATTACACTCTGAAATTATTCGCCAAAGACTTGCACAAAGACAGCGAGGACGCCGAGTACAAGTGGCTTGGGGAGTTTCTGCTACGATGCACCAAGGCGTCTCAACCGGCGCCGTCTTCTTACCCGAGTGCTCTGCGCTGGGGTTTCGGCCCAAAGGCGGTGGCTATGGGATTGCGCTTCAGTCATGGGAAGCCGTCGGCTGTCGTCAAAGATGGCGTCGCCAAGCTACACTTTGAAATTGATAAATCCAAGCAGTCCATTTCTACCATATGCAAAGTTACAACATCCGAAGACAAAGTACTGGAGAATGCTTCGTTTAAAGAATACACAGATACTGGTTTCACGTATTTAGTAGCTGTTCCCAAGAAAGGCAACTACAAGTTCACCCTGTACGCTAAGCATGCTTCCTCGGACTCTAACAGCTTTGCTTTCGTGGGCGATTTTCTCATTGAGTGCAATACACTCATTAAGGCTCCGGTCTCCTTTCCCAAGGCCAGCCCAAATTTTGGAGAAGGATGCAAGCTGTTCGAACCTATACACGGATTTCTTCAGTCTAACAGACAGGTGAAGTTCAGACTCCGCATCCCAGGAGCAGCGAAGGTGGCCGTGATTTTGGGGGAAAGCGAGTGGACGCACCTGACTCAGCACGGTAACGACACTTGGGAGGGGTTGGTGTCTCTCTCGGGGAACGCTAAGTCTGCCGGGGTTTACCTATCTAAGGGCGGAAACAATTTTACAGAGGTGTTGTCGTATAAAGTCGGGTGACTCAGAGTTATTTGATTATTTGAATGCGGTCGCAGTAGTAGCTAGCATGCACTTCCCATGTAAATCACTATTGTACAAGAGGAGCGTCTGTGCATTTGTTAGACGACCAGCTTAAGCATGCAGCTTTCGGTGGGTTGCAGGCCAAAATATATAGATATCGCTCTTAGGTTACTGCAATGGGCTCAATCTCTTCATATTATGGTGTAAATTGTGAAAGCACTCCAGAATAGAGTCAAGATGTTAAATGGGCGCGATTTTACCAATTTTATCATTTTGCACATTTGGCGAGGCCATTATCAGCATACTGTAAATCGGCTAGTTATGGAACTGACGGTGAAAACCTGGAAATTGGACTTTTAAAAGTCACGTCATCCATATTGGCCATTGTTTTGCTCGCTCTTCTCGACTCTCTCCCACGTCGACCCTGCTCGCTCTCCCCGGCTGATTTTATACCATGGTTGAATAAGAATTGTGCATTTACTTCAAACGCAGATAGTTTTAATGTGACATATAAATGTCATATAGATATTAAACGTCCAGTTTGGTAAAGGAGGAGGAGGAGAAGTGAGTAAAGAAGAAACTATAGATTGTGTTTGCTGTGCTTGGTTGGGACGGCTAGATTTCAATTTATGTATTGTGTTCAGAACGTTGATCAACTAGAGCTTCTTTTTATGAAATAATTTTATATGCCTTGTTTAATCTAAGTCTATATAATGCAATGCCTGCAATGAGGTAAGGTGCTCGTTAGCTTTTGGCATTTTTATGTTTCTTTATCACCCACTGGGAAATACAGGGAGGGATATGATTGCTAATAGGAAATTATGTCTGAATATTATGAACAGTATAATGAGTGTGGTGCAAATCGGTAATAATGGAACGGATGTTATTCATTATAAACATCATCGGGTCTTTTTAAGTGATAAGCTCTATGAGCGATCGAATTTTGAAACGGATATATTTTGTGCTCAATAGGTGTACGAGATGTTGTAACACCGACTTCACATGAAATGTTATGAATTCTGTTATGTTTCATAAACAGTTTCAAATAAGATTTTTTGCGTATTTTTTAATATATGTCAGACCGTATAAAAGTTGGGTCAATAAGTAAGTACTGATTAGCTATTTCCTGACCATGCTATTACTATAACTGTTAAATAATTTACTCAAACGATATATCAGCCGCCCTGAAATTAGGTCTTATGTATGTGTCATTCATTTGTTAAAATTCATCGGCAACAGTTCGCAGTGAAATAATCCTGGGCTCAACCATCTAAGCAAAATCCAAATTAATGAGCTACAAGCATTATGTTTTCAGTTATTCATTCGACGTAAAGTTAAACAAATTGTCACTAGCAATAAGAGAGGACATTTTCATTGTCTGCCATAAGACTTGTAACTTGGTGTCAAATAGGCAATATGCATCTGCCTCCACACAGCTGAGCTTACTGTCAATTCTCAATGCATAATTGGCACAATGACAACCACAAACCTAGAGATATTTGGTCACAGCAAGTCCGCTGACATGATTGATTTTGATGCTCACACAACCCTCGACAACAAAGGACCCGCATTGCGCTAGAGAAGACATCTGTCACATTCGGCTGAACAGCTGCGTGCGACCCGTATTTATTCAGGCAGATAAATTGCTTATAATCGATCGAGGTCACAATGTTCCCCCTTAATGTCACCAAAAACCAACAACCTGAACCAATAAACGTGCGATCAAGTCAAGGAGCGTCTTTAGAAGTGGTATATGAAGGAGAAAGAGATAAAATCGATAGAATTAAAATATCAAATTGAATGTTTGTTCAGCTAAGTGCACTGGTTTCTCAGTAGACAAGAAGTGATAGTGACTTTTTGTAATTCACACTGGCCAAAACATTGCTAAATGAATATAAAACGGTGCTTAGGGGGTAGTATTAGATCACATCACATAAAGATACGTTACTGAGGCCTAATAAAATGATTAGAGAAATATCTAGCCAACATTGACGACCATTGCCTGATGATAAGTTCATATTTCGATGTATCAAGTAGTATAGGCATATCATGTAGTGGCACATTATACAGTAATGTACCATAATTTTTCTTTAAAAGAGTTCATTGCGTGCAAAAAGTTTGCTCCTTTTCTTTAAAAAGACATTAACGATATTAAATTTCTTCAAATAGCAACTGAATAAATACGATAGGCCTACCCTTTCAAAGAAAAAAATTGAAATACAATCAGTTGCTATAAGTTGTAGAAAGATTCCTAAAGAGATAGTATATACCGAGGGAAAACGCCGCAAATAGGCGTCCTAGTTTGCTCCCTAACTTTGTATAGGTACTCGTGAAATAGAGCAAAACGCCTCAACAAATACGTCTGCACGCTTTTCAGAAGAATGAAAATAATACCACCAATTTACTCAGCAGTGTTATGCAGAAGGTTGATAGTTATATACCGGGGTATATCTTCACAAATCAACTAATGCAAGCCTTTGTTATATCATGAGTTCAACAAGGAGATTATTGCAACAGGTGCTTCGTTTTCTTCAAAGTGTGATCAGCTATTTAAATTGTTGATAAGATATTCATTTACAGGCCTGTAGTCAATTTTTTCAGATTTTTATGAAAATTGGTACCTTTATACTTCCATAATTGAGTAAAGACCCAACGTTGAGTAAAGACCAAAAGAAGTAGAATTAAATCGTGATCTAATTTTTTTTTAAAAATCCAAGCCAAATAGTCCCCCCCACCCCCTTCGGGACACCCCTCCCCCCTTAACCCCGGCCTACATTACTATCCCATTCGATAGATTTTGAGCTGAACGCGGATTTTAGGCATAGTGCCAATTTTCATTATTTAAATTTATCATTTCCAGTCTTCTTCGTCTACTTGGTCAATTTAGCTCCCTCCCCACCTCGGGTCTCAAGCTAAAGGGCTTATCTGAAAAACGATGTATTTGATATCGTAGAAGACAACGCAAATTAAGTTATTTTACTCTTTATCATTATAAAAAGTAAGCCCATATATGATTTTTTAAAAAAATTCTATTTCAATAACGCCAAGTGCATTTTCAGACAGATGTATCTATGGCAGTATAAGATTAATTGATTTTAACTTCTTTCTTTGTCTGGTCACTTTCTTTCTGTGTTTATTCCTAACTCGACGAGGGGGACAATTGACCAGCATTTAGACAGGTGCGGGTTACACGCGCGTTGTACTTTTCACAATACACAACAACGCGGCGTCTTATTTTCACGTTGTAATTAGTTATCTAGGACTTAAGTGGCCACCCGTAGAAGATAAACATTACCAACAGAACATCATATTTTGAGAAAATGTATACAATGTGTTTTTTAATCTTATAATTGAACAATTAGAACGTTTCGATATTTGAAAGAAGCCGCCTGATCGGAAATTACTCTTGAAGCAATACGTGTTGATCCCAGTCGCCGAGATAAGATGTCGTCTGATTTAGCTCTGTGTTCGTCAAATTAATTTTCTCCAAAGATATCATCGAAATTAACAGCAGAAAGATGCCAAAATTAGAACATGTTTTGCCTTTGCCTGGTGTTCCTCTTTATCTGTTGTTTAGTAAAAATTATCACCACAGAAGGAAGTCACCTACAAACATAACCGTCCATGCATGTTTGGCTTTTCATATGTTTGTTTCATATGTTGTTTGGTGAAAGAGAAATTCTGTACACAATTCGGGGAGCTCAGTATTGCATCTTGTAATCGCAAAATCTCTCGGGCATGTTGAAAATATTTTCATTAATTTCACAAAACAGGAAGATGGCAACAGAAATACAGTATACGGTATATAATTGATAACATGGAAGTGGATAATGCATACGGGTAATTACATTAATTCTCTCTACCGGTGCACGTGCTGGCGTTGACTTTCGATTAAGCCTTATCCTATCTGCAAACTCAGAAAAACCGGCACATTTTAAAATCAATATTTTATTATATGCGGACATGGAAAGTGGAAAATGCATACGGGTGTTTTGAGTTCGGAGAGAACGCTTACATTATCTTGAATTTTCCATGGATTCGCGATATTTTCATTCATTTTAGTCCGTGTGTTATTTTTCTAAATCGATACTAAAACACCAGGAATTTTTCACCTGTCTTTTGACGCCTAATAATTGTGCTGATGTTTCTCTTATACCGGAAAAAAATACAATCTTTCAACAAAGATGAATCTATAGAACGAGAGGTCATTATCTACAGCGTTTTAAAATCAATATTCTAGGACATTTCAACGATGCCATAGAAAGATATTGAAGGGGCACTTGAATGAAATAATTTAAATAATAGGGCCAGTTTTGCGTCTTTTGAAGAAAACGTAAAGAGAATCAAAATCTAAATTTATATCTACTATAAATGACAAGCATGATTTCAATCACACATATTTCATTTCAACCAAGTACAAATTAAAGTTGAAAAGGCAGGAAAATATATCATTCAATTATTTCTTTGAGCTTACGCGTAAAACGTGTTGACATATCTTTCGCGCATAGCAACTGTGCTAAAACACACAAAGATTTATTTTTGATGTACAAAAAAAAAAACAAAAAAAAAAAACGCTCCCCCCCTCCCCCCTTTCTGATCACGTCGCTCAGTCACTGAAGGTGTCTCTATCATGCAAATAAAACAGTGTTTTGCAAAGATTTATGAATGATTTTCGAATATATTTACTTAATTCTTTAATCATTTCTTCAATTATTTCTTCTACCTCAGCCCGACTGTAAAAAACTTATATTGGTCACCAGTCGCCCCTAAACCCTAGGGATTTATCACTTTTTTTCTTTTTTCTACGTCTAGTCACTTTGTCGCTGTAAGATAAAATCAAATTTTCCACCATTTTGAGTCACCGTATGACAGGGCACCGCCTCTGAGTTGAACAAAGATGGCCCCTTATTCCTGTCTACTTAGGCACAATACGCTGATGGTAATTAATTTTGTCGCGGACGAATAGCCATGCAGCAATTTTAACTCGTCTATGGTCTCGTTAAAGACAAAGCAAGAATAATAATACCAGCCGTTGCGAAATTATACGTCATGATTTATATCATTCGCTGAAATCATGCCGGTCTTTGTTCAGTGCGCTATGTTGTACGTTTTATTTTAAAATGCACTCATCGCCATCGACAACAATAACGTTTGCGCTAATGAACTAATGACAATTACAATAACTCAAAAATGAAAGAACTTACGGGGAATCGATCTGATAGTAATGGCAATAATACCTTAAAATGTTGAAATAGGGCACACACAGGCACTTAACTAATAAAAAATAATGACAAAAAAAGGAAGAAAAAACAAAAACGTTTTACAATATTGAATTTCTTGTTCCACAGACATTTTCATTGACTCTAGCAACGATGAACGGTGCTATAAACTCGGTTAAACGATAACATTTAAATGTCATTCGCACAATGAAAAATTTCCGATTCATTTTCCTGTTGTGCGCCGGGGAAAGAACGGCACATCATCAGATGTTAATTGAATGCGTGTCAAATTGAAACTAGAAACCCCACAATGAGTATAAATTGTCTGTATGTTAGGTTAGTCGGGCGATTTTATCGAACGTCGTCATATCTGTATACTATGTTAGTACAAAGCCATGTTGCCCATATGGTTTTAATTGGTCTTTTTAGAGCAACATTTGAGGACATATTACGAAAACCTGGGGGGTGTATAACAAAAATGTCCCCCAACATTTTTCTGTTTTGGAGGGGGCTTATTTAAAAAAAAATGGAAAAATTTCGGCTTTTTTTGTATATTTAAAACAGATTGATTTCCAAGGTAACGTCCTTATTCGAATAAAAAGATTTTTCCAATAGTACCCGACTCAAAACAATTCCCGATTTGATCATTATGGACAACAATAATCATAGCCATGTCATCAAAGACGAAGATGTTTCAAAATATATCAAAATCATAGGGTTGAAAAAAAAACAACAACAAAGAACAAAAACAAACAAAAAAAAAACACCTAGGCATATCACGTTTATTCACCTATAGCCTGATGATGTCAGAACATTGGTAAGAAGTGAAACAAAGATTTAAAGATATCAAGGTTTATAGTCAATTTAAAATCAACAGACAGCGAATTTCGTCAGTAAGTTCCTGTAGAATCACGTCTGTTTATTTTTCTAATGAACCACGTACATTGTCCTTATCTTCCGTGCGGGTTATATCATCCTGCAAGCTCTTTTAGATCAGTACTCCCCGAAGTATCAAATGAAACCAGGTTTTTATATTACATTGATTGAAAGATAAGTCTTGACTCATGCAAGTTCTCGTGATATATATTTTTTCTTGGGATGAAAACAATCGTAAAATCTGGCTACAAGAAGATTTTATTGATTGATTTTCATTTGTTGATATTCAAGCAATTGCAACACATTTTTGCAGTAAAATGCAGTTCATATGAAAATTATAATATAATTCATTATCATTTTTTTTTTCATTTTTACGACAGATACCAGCACCTAATTTTTTTTATGCATACGCCCCCATATCCAAGGCACACCCCCGACCAATGCAAAGACTGAGCGTAAGTCTAAGCTTCGAGATTTCTACATTGGAAATAATATAACAAAATATGATAAGGAATTATTGAGACAGAAATGTTTCAACTCAAACAGCAAAGTAAGGTGTTAATCATCTCCATATTATACCTAAGCAGCACTTATCACATATTTTATCTATCCAATTTTCACACACCCACTTCTTCGTGTCCTTTACCAAGTGTATTATGGTACCTTATTCTATGCAGTCATCAATTTGAGCACTCACATCAAGACTGCAGTTTATAATTTGAAGTAAAATCCTCATAAGTCGGTGACTTGATCCTTTTTTGCTTTTAGGGTCACAATATTGGTTCTTATCTTTAAATAGCTACCTCAACTTCGTGACAGTCGTCCATAAAGCAGAAACGCGATCATAGAGGGAAAAAACAGGAGATAAAGAAGAAGATTCAGCAGGCTTGTCTTAAACGTGAGTGGGATGGCAAAAAATGTATCATAAAGTACTTAGGCTTATTTTAAAGAACACTATGACATGTAATAAAGGAGAAGGGATAGATACAAAACGTACAAAAGGTGGCTTAATCAAAAAGGCAAGAGAAAAATGGCACCAAAGTTGCAACAAAACCCTTAATCCCTATTGTTTTAATGGGGATAAAGGAATACGTCTTTAGAACTTACTTTTTATCTGATTATTTTTTATTTCTGCATCAAAGATGAAAGAAATTATAACAACAATAATGAATAATAATAATAATAATAATAATAATAATAATAATAATAATAATAGAAGAAAATAGAATCCACGAGTCGAGGACAGGATGTTATACCTTAGATATTCAAACGAACTTATGCAAAATATTTATTTATAAAAATATTAGCAAATAGAGCGAAATAGAAACGCAAAGGCGATTGTTTCCAACACTTTGTCTTTAGCACATAAGAAACAGTTTATACCTAGGGGGGGCGTGCTACCTGTACAAAGCACAATACATAACTTGTGCGCAGTCGGTCAATATTTTCCCTGAGATAGTCACCTCTCCCTGCTTCCGTAATCCTTAAGCCCTGATTCAACAAGTGTCTGCATACTTATTACGATACGAGGGGATCCAATACCACCGCGCGTGAGGAAAGGTAACATAACCAATATGTTAGTTTCCCGTGGACTTACGGCAGGGGGATTAAGCGTGTTATCGCTACTGAGTGAATTCTGAGTTAGGCAAGACTTCGGCCTGTTTACAGGGGCTCGTCATTTTCGATAACAGCAGAAGAATGTCTCTTTTTTCCATAATGGAAAAGTTGCAGTATAATTCGGCAGTTGCTGTCAACAGTCGAGGAGAGAATGATTTAGTAGTCACATTGACTATATATATAAAACCTATTATAAACTATAATCTAGTTTTCTCTCTCTCTCTCTCTCTCTCTCTCTCTCTCTAAAAAGTGAAAAAGGTTCGTTTTAAAAATAATGGGACTAGATTTATTAAACGTCCCGTGTTGTTGAAAGTAGACAAAATGCAAAATATCAAAATTCAGCGGTTGCAAAGTCAAACAGTATGATGTAAAGGGAAGTTCTACCGCTTTGAGTCTGTTGATAAAATATTTAGTTCAAACACCTTTGCACTTTATCTTGGTCCTATAAACAGAGCCTTGTTATAATATTGAACTCAGAGTTTGTGAGTCCCCTCGGCTTGTTGTTGTCACAGTTGTGATTACACACCAGATAAAATCATATAGGCTAGGCAGTGAAGTAAGCCGGCGCTGGCACAGCTAAACAACCAAACATGTAGCCAGCCAGCCAGGTGAATTCGAAGACCTAAATTATGACATGCGCGCGCAGCTCTCTCACAGGTAATTATACTGGCTGGCGCATCCTCTTTCTCGGCCACCGCTGACTGCGTGAGCGAACAGCCCTTACCTAGTGGATGCCACGTTTGTTCGCGACATCCCGAACCAATGAGAGAGCTTGTTTTACAATAGAGCCTCCACACGCTGTTGCACATGGTTCAAAACTGCCCCCATGTCGCCGTCGCTCATCACAACACACAACATCGAGAGCCACGATCGGAGACAGTTGTGAAGCGACAGGAGGAGTTAGAGAAATTCGGAGGTGGACGACACGGGGACATAGTACGCGACGCAGCACCTTTATCTACGCACGTCGCCGCCACCCATCGCCAAATAATGGCGTGTAACTACTTGGTTGTGATATTTTGTGCCACGGCAGGGAAACAAGGGGAAGAGTTAGGGACGGACGAAGAACAGATTGTTTTGATTGTCTACCTATTGCTGGACATATCTAACAATCGGGTAAGTACCTTGAGTTCGGACTGAATCCCACGGGACAGGCCTCGCATATGTTACGATCTGTCACAAAGTCACGACCTCGTATAGTCTTAGGTGAAATACCGGTTTTACGTTTGTTGATCTCCCATTATAAAAGGTACACACAAAAGTTAAACACTACTGGCTATTCCTCGGCATCCGTGTAAATATAATACAGTTAAATATTTTCGCAGTTAAGCCACACGATGGCAAACACGCTGAATGGCTTAGATCACCTTTCATATGAATTTAGATACCGTGTTCGGGATGAGACAAGTAAAAGAGGTCAACGTTTTTTTACGGTCGTAATATAGGTGCATGTTTCTATCTACAGTGTAGATGACACACCTTGAGTTAGTCAGTGTCATAGCGTCTCCTATTTTAACCTGAAATTTCTTTACCTCTGTGTTTATTGCATACGTGCTACTGTACAGGTGGGGTTTCCTGGGCCTAGAATTTGTCTCTTAAACAAGACTGTCCTTCTGTCCTTTTTTAAACATTCTTTGCTATTTAATGAATATTATCCCATCCCTTGATATGAACATGTACCATTTTGCAGTCGGTCGTTAAGGTTTCTTAAACGTGCAAAAATGTCGCTTAAATAACGATGTCCCCTTAAAAGTGTCACATGTTTTATACACGGTACCGTAATGTGAAATCGTGTAATTTTAAACTGGGGACATCAGTCCCTTGTAGTTTGTCACTTTAATTGAGTAAATGACTCTCCATCTTAAAGCTCATCTCTTGCGATCAACAGGTGGTTTTAAATGACCATTTCCTTTTAACTTTAACTTAAAACAGATAAAAAAACTGTTCTTCTCTTCAACAGGTGGTTTCTCTCCAACACCAGTATGTCCGGCCGCAGGTGGACGACATTTCAGAGACAGTCCTCACTGAGGAATGCAAGACAGAAATAGATCTTAACGAAGACAGCATCAGGAACGCTCAGCCCTTAGAGCAAGTCCTTGACGAGGTAAGAATGCACCCTGTCGGACAAACGTCTAATTATTTAATGTAAATTTATTCAGTGGTCCTGAGTCTCATGTCATTGTAGGTCCAGCTGTTAAACGTATGTGTGCAATTTGTGATGGGTGTTTTACATTAATGGCTACAGATACTATTTTTTATGTAGATGACTTGTGTTTCATGCAGTATCAGTTATATTTATTCAATCGACCTGACTGTGTGGATTTATTTGTCGCGTGCAACATTTTCTTGTGATAAAGGGCCACTTGATTACGATGATTCTTACGAAAAAATATTTATGGTGTTATTGCAGAAATAGTGCAGTCCAAGGTGACGTGGCGTATTTTAATTCCCATGCTTTGTCAAACTTGTCCTGTAATATTTATGATTCGTTTATAATTTTCATAGTGATTTAACTGATAGTGAGACTTGGTGCATAGCATATTAAAAACTCAGCAAAATTGAATATCTCGCGCTTAAATATATGCGTGTGTTCCATATACTTAAATGGGACTTCATTCCCCGTCCTAGATGGCACAGTTGATACATATTTGTGTCGGTGCTTAGCACGCATCGGTTACTCATTACAATGAGTTAAGGCTGCACGCTTTTTCAACCTTTTAAGTTGTTTGGTGTGGTGTGCCCTCTCCCATTGTGCACTCTCAATGGCGGAATGTTGCCTCAGAAAGCAGAAAGATTGTCAAGTGTTACAGCTGATACGAAGACCGGCTTTTAGAGAGGGGTCGTAAAACGCGGCCCGGTACAAACCCAGACATTGTGTTTCTGTTTCAAGTGCAAACGAGGTGTTATCGTCAAGTGTGATCGTAAATGCTTAGCGCGACCAAGTCGTCCAAATACGCTCTACGCACAATATACATTTATTCCTGTTTAGCATTTATAATGTATATTACTCATATGTATATTCCGGTGCTCTGCCTGAAGGTAGCTGAATAATTCATGCAGCGAAAGTTTTCCACGTTTACTTAGATTGTGTGGTTTTTCTAGTCGCATATTACACGCTGAGTGGCTGTTTTATCTTTGTTATTACGTTCGTACTTTTATAAGGAAGATTCCAATACGAATCACACGTCTACTTAAATTCCTGTCTAACGTTAGCGCTATACATTACTCATATGCAAAATCCAGGGTCGTTTTGCCCTTGGGAAACTGATGGCTATCACCAAGCTGGGCCGTCCACATATGAAGAGGCCCACTTTCAGTCCGCTTTCACGCTGAGACTATATATCCCTCATATATTAACTCGAGGGACAATTTCCACAGGTAGTTACAATATAATGTCCTGGATTCCAAATAGGCTTATTACCACTCGCCACTTATTGTCCGGTCTCTGGGGGTGATTTTCCTGAACAACAGGTAGCTTCTGTATTGGAAACTCGGAAAGAAGAGTCTTCCCAATAAAAAGCACGGCACGAATTGTAGAATAGGTTATCAGTTTATTGCCTTAATTGAAATTGTCTTATGTAAAATCATTGATATAGAAAAAGTTATTTGGAGAAAAAATATGGATGAAAACGTACTTAAGAATTTCGTACATTTAAATATGAAAGTAGAGTCCTAGCCAATGTCACTTCGTGATGTGCTAGAAACCAGCACTTTAAATGTTCTTTCCTTGGTTGAGTAGCTTGGCTAAAGGAGATATACACGCCGATTAATATAACTCGCGTTCTCAGGTGGCCAAGCGTTTCAGCAGCTCAGCGACGCGACTGGGTTCATTTATGTAGGTCATTTGAGATTCCGTCAGATTAGAGCCACTAAGAAAGGTGTACAACAAGAAGACGATCCTTCGCCGAGGTGCAACGCATCTTTGTTTACTTTAGATTGACCACGGCTCTCAGACGATCCAGGTGTAAAAATGGCGGTCGTTTTCAAAGACTTAATTAAGGGCCCCTTTTCATTGTACACAAGGCTTGGATACCAGGCCTTAAGTGCTTTGACTTGACGAAACCAGTGTCCACTCAATAATTAGAGAAAAATAGAACTAATTAGCGGCTGACTCAGGTATCTTGATCGATGATAATGAGGATGAAGATCACAGACAGACATCCCTTGTGTTAATGTGGGCCGGTGTCTCTATTACCATTACTCATGTTCGTTATCAGATCTATTTCAACGTCCCATTGTTGGTCTGTATTAAAGGGTGCATAGTTGAGCCTTTATTTTATGGTTGTCTGGTAAATTATGCATTGTTTTTTTTTTTACCCTGCTTAAAGACATCACCGACTCGCCACCTGGTTAGATAGACCAGAGAACTCTCTGATAAGAGAATATAAAGAATAACGTGTAGCCATATTTGCACGAAATGAAAAACCAGTTTTTAAATGTCACAGTTGTGTGACAAATGTGGTCGAATATGTCTCGAGTTTACATCTGAAAATGTAAGGATTGGATAACAGCACGTTTCAGTTATAGAAGATATTCAACCAAGTCGATTTTATACTCTAACACTGAAAGTATGACGCAGTAGAGACAATGTATCAACATATTGTCTAAGGACCCGTTTGTGGTTTCTACACACACCTCGCACTGTACAAAAATAGATATGGCTTCTCCGTTCGGTGTAAGTTTCAGTGCATAATTGGAAGTCTCATAAAGGTGACAGTTCACGTGTTAAGCCCGTACCTTGCTTCATCAGTCAGTCACTCATGTCTCAAAACTCCCACGATTACGACAAGCGACAATTATAAATGGACAGTGGGTGACGGCATTCTCCAGGTGACGTATACATGTCAAATGTCCCATGGCACAACTGACTGGAGTGACACTGACAGAAGTTTGTTTTAAACTTTACATTTGTTCAAAATGGACATTTGATACTTTATCTTCCCCTTCCCCTCTTCCAAAAGCCGCTCGATCAATTAAAAAAACAACAGTACTTGATTCAAATCACTGCAATCGAAGGTTTTGAATAACAATGATAATCTCTCACTTCAGTGTATCTTTATTTTCATCACATGTTCACTTTGCCACGTCAAAAGGATTCCACATGGTTTCTGAAAACCTGTTGAAAACTAGATAAAAATGATAATAAAAAATGTTATATTATATATAGATTTGCATTATTATTCATACGTTTTGACAACTTATGCATGATTTATTATAGCATCATAATGTGCCCGTTGAATTACTGCATCATAATTTCTCTTTTCAGTTCAAGGGTAATAATGTCCAGACAGGTAAAACAGCCTTACTGTATCCACATATATAAACAAACTTTCTGGTTAAACACTAGAATCTACATCGAACTGTCTTGCCATCAGTTTTTTAAAAATATGTTCGTTTTCATTTTTTGCAGTTCGACCGGTTTATCAAGACAAAAGGCTGTCACCCGGAATCAGGCGGGAACAGTTTCACTTTCGTTTGTGACGGACAGCTGCATTTTCGCCTCAGTCTTCATCCAGAAGCGTGCAATAAAAACATTACTCTCCCAGACTATTTCTACCGTTTCTATGACTTAAGGAAAGAATTTAAGACCTTCTACAAGACAGAGAATATCAATGGAATCAAGGACATGCTTGAATGTATCCTTTTTGCTTTGATATTGACGTTTTATGTTTGCAGTTCAAGGTTGCATCCTGTGCAAAAAGCACAAAATATAAGGTAAGGCCTTTAAACCTGATGGAAAGATATCTAAACTTTACAAACAGAAAATGTCATTTTATATGGATCGTATTGTTTTTACATCTGTAACTCAAGATTTATGGTTATGCACGAAATTGCCATCTAAGATTTTCAAATCTGCGCTTGAGTTAACGTGTTGCATGTTAAAGTGCATGTGCATATATGGTATCTGAAAATTTCATGGAGTCAGCTTAAACACACTCTGTCCTAAAGTCGTGATGTATGCATTTGGGATTTTATAATTGCTACACCCATATGAAGCTGACAACTTTCAAAATACTGTATTATTTAGAACCAGCTGCTGCAACAGGCGACGTTTTTAAAGGTAGGCTCATTGCTACATAATTCATTTACAAAATAGAAAAAAAAGAGCAACGCGACAGCCATCATCTTGCAAATCCCACATACAACCCTGCGGTCTTTTCAAAGTGCACAAATGCGGACCCATTCTTTATGTGTGAGGACCCAAATATGGATATTGAACGGAAATCCCATACTACATACTGGTATATTCACCATCCGTTTTTAAGGCCCCAACGGTGCCGCCTATGAGGAGTCGGGCCCCGAATAAGAATATTGTAACCTTGAATAGGATGTGGGTTCTTTAACGACGAATGCTGCGAACCAGCAATGATAATTTGATGGCGGACGTCGTCGTTTATAAATATGAATATTCAGCTGTCGTCCTCGACATTTTCAAAAACTGGATGCAGAATTGAAATGACACGGCCGAAGCGGCATTTTCATAAGTTATCATTTCTAAATGTAACTGATGACGTTTGGGGAAGTTCTTCTTTCAATTTTTTATTGGGTGCAGCGACAACTGTCAAATGGATCTACAGAATTATTCATATGCAGAATGCCCATAAGTTGACTTATGTGATCTTTACTAGTATATATAAGGGTTTGCAAGTGGATAAAATGTTTTTTCGTTGAATCTATTGCTCTGTGGTTTTTTATCTGAATGAGGTAAAATACAGTGCTTCTTCTTCTTCTCTGGGAGATTTGACGAGAATGGACTATTTTCCTTAATGATTCCCTGGAATATGATGTCTTTAAATGGACAACAAAATTTTATGTATCAATTCTTTAACAAAATGGTCTTCTCAGTGAAACAGCACTGTCACTAGAGAGCATAAAAACAATTTGAGGTATGCCTTAATAATTTGCATAAACCATAAATGGACGTGTACATAACAAAATACATGACTCTAAAGCCGAGAAATGGCGCACGAGCCATTTCAGGCCTATTAAGGAATAGCTATGTACATATCCCTCAAAAGGTCTTTCTGTTAAATAGCTCTGTTGCCAGCGTGCATTTTGCTGTATCCTAGGAATGGTGAAAATACGGGTAAATTAATCATATCCTTGTCATATCCGCAGAGAACAGAATCAATAGACTCTAGGATTGCTATATTATTGTTGCCGTGAGATCCACATCCTGGAAGAGGTGGATCTTTGCACGCACGCTTGTGAAAGAGGGTGCGGTGGCAGCATGTGACCGGCGCTTATTTAATGCCCTCTACCAGGGTGGCAGATATAATAATAATAATAATAATAATTTATTGAGCCCTAAAATGTTTCAGTACATTTTGCAGGCCCTCTAAACTACTTGTGTAATATATATCTAGACCTATTATCCCACTTATGTGATACAACAGGGAAATCTTTAAAAAGCCAGAGAACCATATAACCTTGTGAAAAACCAATCTGTCGCCGTGGTAGAGGGTATTTATTTAACACAGATGGTATATGATGATGAGGGGGGGGGGGGCTTTTTTCCTGAATGATTCCTAGGAATATGGATAGTCTATTATCAAATCTATTCATTCGATATTGCCCAATTTGGTGCCTTAAAATATGAAAACTTGAATTAGACTAGAGTGGAGTTCTGTTTTAAAAGGGTTAGGGGTGAAACTGTCTTATTGTGTTATGTCGTATTCTAAGCATGCTAAGGTTTAAGCTGGGTTCTTCTAAACAAAAGCTGAAATTATGAACGTCTGTAGTGGGAGAGAGTCGATACATACCATCAGGGGACTGGATAAGGCGTTTGACTTTGGATCGTTCTGCGTTAAAAGTATTTATTTCAAGGCTAAACATATCACTGAATTGCGTTTAACTTATCTGCGGATTTTTTCAGTTGTTATCCAAATGGTATGTACTTTAGGCCTATGAAATTGCAAAGAATGTGATGAAAAAAGGTGTCAGGGACTTGTTGCATGATGGTCTTGTTTAAAAGCATGACGGGGGAACCTAAATCTCATATCTATGGAAATTCATGTACATAATGGCTATGCAAGGGAAGTAAAGCAAGGCAGATTACTTCACTCGCGCTAAAAGTGATGTATCTTTTGCATCTCTCTAGGCTAGCTCTTCTTCAATCTTTTATCATACAACATCATTTGAAGATTATCTGCTTGAATTTTGCATGAAAACATCCATTTTCTCGAACTGATACGCCGTCATGATATGCTATCTTTCCTGGTCTCTGTTATGGCTAAAGGAAGGGGTCAATGGAAAATGTCCCCGTAAAGTGGACAATGTATCTCTAATGCTTTTAGTTCAATATTCCCTTGTCTTTTTCATGTTATTTTCATGGGAACATCACGTTGCCATAAATAATCTATTTACACCGTTGTCATTAGATTTAAAGCTGTGGCGAGTCTTTGCCAACAGTGAGCTTATCACAGTTCTAATGTACAGTGATTTTAGGCTAAGAATTTGCTTCTTTATATTTAAAAAATACAACATTTCACGTTTTTTAAGTCTGTCATACTTGACAAGACAGAAATTTGGTAAAATACCCATGTGATGATATCTTTGCAAACATTTCCGATAATGAAGTCGTAACTTTTCCCTTACTAAACTTTGCCAGCAATTGAGTTTATCATAATGTCTAACCATTAAGACCTTTGGAGAAAAAAGTACTTCCTTTTATTTGACGTTGCCATGACGTTTTCCCCCTCATCACACAGGTATATGTATCAGAACTGAGGAAAGCAGACGTACCGTAACGTGCATTTTAGCATTACACGTGAAATAATTACGTCCCGAACTACGCACTGTAACGTCTTTGATTATTTTTCTGTTTAGTGGCAGAAATGTAATAAAAAATAATCGGTTAATTCAGTGTCTCCCACCGCAGTAGCTCTTCGTAATGGAACGCATTAATGGAATGTTACATGTTTCACTTCATAACGGCCTAGATGTGCTGTGTATTTGTTACCGAAACGTAATTCGAAAGGAATATCCTCGGCCTACGTAACTGATATACGAACAAGGTCCTCGTGTAATGATAAAAAGATTGAGCGGGTTATTCCATTTTTGCGTGCGAACACCCGAGACAGTTGCAAAACAGTCTGAAGACTGTCAGGACTTGAAAATTAATTTTCGTTGGGATCAATGTACATATTTTTCTTTTTTGACGGATAGACGTCTTCTGTCTCCGATATAGCCTTAAATCATCCAACGCTTTCTTGTAAATAGTGGTTTTTTCTGTTTACCCCAGTCTAGAATAAGTACTTCTGGAAAATAAATATATACATAGATTAATGAATAAACGAAGAAATAGTTGAACAAATAAATAGTTAAGGAATTGTACAGGTAAATAAATTGATTTAATAATGACAATTGATAAGGGAATCACCCCCCCCCCCTTTAACACATTCTATGTCTTTAACTCTCTTTCCTCCCGCCTTTCCTCTATTGCTGAATATTTCTCTCCAACGGGACACTTGATTGTCGGTTCACGTCTAGATAATTTGAAATACAATTATCGTTAATAATTTGATATTTGCGGCAAACGGATATTCATACGTTATCTCGGTCTGGTGAATTATATCTTACATCCTTCATTTCTAGAACATACAATCAGCATTATCCCGTGATTAGACGCTACATCTTTTCCATAATAGGTCTGAGTAAGACAGAAACTAATCATCTTCACCTGAAATATCCGGTTGATGTAAGACTTATCATACCTTATATACAGTCCAAGTGACTTATGTAGGTTTAAGCAGCAAAATAAACACAAAGGTAAAAAATAAGTAATGCATTTATCTTTCTTAGAACACAAACTGGATCAGACAATGAAAATGTTTTTTATGATTACCTTGAATATTAACCATTTTGATAAAATGCAGACACGTGCTTGCAAGCAAACGGGGGCCTCATGAAATGGGCTTCATGGAAGCAGGGCGTATGTCTTCTCTATCTTGCTCACTAGCTTAGGGTGAATAAAAAAACATGATCTTGCTTTTTTTTTTTTTT